AAAATCTTATATGTGAAAATTCGTAGCAGCCTTATTTAGAAGAGGCAAAAAGTGGAAATAACCCAAATGTCCATTAATTTATAAAATGTGGAGTATTCATCTGATAAAATAGTATTTAGTTATAAAAAGGCATGAAATACTGATACATGCTAGAACATACATGGACTTTGAGAATGTTACGCTGAAGACTGCAGTCACGGAAGACCGCATAGTGTAGGATTCCATTTATATGAAATTTTCAGAACTGGTAAATTTACAGGGAAGAAATGAGATTAGCGACTGTCTGGGGCTGAGAAGTTTGGGAGCATTACAGAGTCCCTGCTAGCAGTTGTGCGGTACCTTTCTGAGGTAATGAAAATGTTCTAAAATCGATCATGGTGATGGCTGTACAACTATGTGAATATGCAAAAAACAACTGACTTATACACTTTAAATATGTGAGTTGTACAAGAGGTCAATTATGTTTAACTGAAACTGCTATATATCTGTATACCCATTTTAAAAAGGAAATAAATACCTATTTAGCTAGGAAAAGGGAGAAGGAAAACAAAAGCGTACAGAAATAAAGAATGAAAGATAAAAACAGACATCAATGAGGTAAAAACAGACATCAATGAGACAGAAAACAAACAAAAAAAGAATAAATTCTTTAATTTAAAAGTTGGTTCCTTGGGAACTGGACAAACCTAATTTTACTAAGTGGGATAACACACAAAAAAGACAAAGAAATGACCAGGGGCAGTAATCACCCAGAGAGAATATTAAAAGTCCTGAGACTATTTTGAATAACTATGAAGATAAAATATAAAACAGGGGTGCCTGGGTGGCTCAGTCGGTTAAGCGTCAGACTTCAGCTCAGGTCATGATTTCACGGTTTGTGGGTTCGAGCCCCACGTCAGGCTCTGTGCTGATGGCTAGCTCAGAGCCTGGAGCCTGCTTCAGATTCTGTGGCTCCCTCTCTCTCTCTCTGACTCTCCCCTGCTCACGCTGTCTCTCTCTCTCTCTCAGACAAAAAAATACACTTGAGGGGATGAGCACTGGGTGTTATATGGAAACCAACTTGACAATAAACTATTTTAAAAAAAGAAATATATATACAAAGCCTAGGTCAAATTGACGCTTTCCCAAGAAAGCTGATTTAACTTAAATTAACCCCAGTAGAGCAAGAGAGAACTAAAACCAATTTTTCACAGAAGAAGTAGAAAACTGCACAAGTAATCATTCTAAAAAGGCACCAGGCATGAATGGGTTCTATCAAGCCTAAAAATAATTCTACTGTAATTTATATGATGATAGGATAGAACACAAGAAAAGTCTCCAAATTATTTTTTATAAAGTGAACATAACTTTGATGCCAAAACTTGACACCAAGTTGGGGGTGGGGTGGAGAAAAAATTCCAGACCACTTTTGCTATGATGCAAAAATGTTAAGTATCAGCAAAGAAATGCACCAGCACATTCACACATTATACACATCATGACCAAGTGGGGTTCATCCACCCACGCAAGGAAGAGTCAATAACCTAATATTAATGTGGTATCATTACAGTTTAAGGAAAGTATCATAGGATCATCTCCTTAGAAACAAAAAAGGCGTGTAACAAAACTCAATACCAGTTCAAGTTAAAATTCTAAAAAAGGAATTGAACGATACTTCTTTAACATAAAATCCAAATATCCAAGCTCCAAAGCCAGGATCATACTTAATGGGGAAACTCTAGAGGCTGTCCTGATAAAATTAAGAAAATAAAAGAATGCCTAGGATCTCCACTACTTACCATAGCACAGGAGGTATTAGACAAGAGAAGGCAGTTATAACCACAGAATTAGAAAGAGGAAGTAATAGCTTTATTTGCAGGTATTGTCATTATACACCTGGAATACCCCAGAAGTAAATTGAAACTACTATAAATAATGAGATAATTTAGTAATACAGAAGCCTATAAAATTGGCTTACAGGAAACAATAGTTCATGTTATACATACCTGCGCACACGCACAAGCCTTCAGGCAACGTCCTGTTAAACATGATGAAAGGAAAGACATCGTTACAGTAACAAAAAGAATAAATAAAAAGCCTGAGAATAGCTTCAGCAAGAATGTGCAAAACCTTCCTGATGAAAACTATAAAGCATTCCTGAAAGACACAGCGGAGGCTCAAATAAAAGGCAAGACAATCAACTTGGACAGTGCACAGCCCAAGCGTCTCATTCGTCTTTTTCTGGAATGAACTGTGTGTGAGAGCAGGGCCTTTGTTCTGCTTATTGTTGTGTTGGCAGCGCCCGGCAGAGTTCACAGGGCTGGTCAAACGTTCCAGAAACAGAAAGATTTTGGACAAGAACGGTCGGTCCGCTTGGGCCACTGTAACAAAATACCAGAGACTGGGCGGCTTAAATAACAGGTGTTTATTTCTCAAGGTTCTGTAGGCTGGGAAGTCCAACGTCGAGGTGCCAGCAGATTCGGTGTCCGGTGAAGACCTTCTTCCCGGCCGGCGGCCGGCTGTCTTCTCACTGTGTCCTGCCTGGCCTTTCCTTGGTGCGTGCGCATGGAGACAGCGCCTCCTTGCTCCTCATCTTCCTACAAGGGCACTAATGCCATCCCGGGGCCCCACCCTTGGGGCCTCATCTTACCCCAACTGCCTCCCAAATGCCCCATCTCTGAATACACAATTTGGAGGTTAAGGCATTGACGTGAATTGGGGGGGGGGGGGCGGGAGGAGACACAAACATCCAACCCCCAAGGTGAACATTCCTCTTCCTGGGCCAGCTCCTAAAAATGAGACAACCGGCTGCTGGCTGACCTTCCTCCTGCCCTGACCTCCTGATGCTCTGTCCCTACTGAGAGGTGTCCCTCTGTCCAGTAACACACCAAACTCTGACGCCGCCACGCACCGTGCAGGGCAACGGGGCCAAAATCACAAGAGGCAGAGACCCTGTCACACGTGGTACCCAATGTTTATCTGTCCAGGGCCAAGTAAGACTGGGATCAGGGAATACAAAATCAGAGCAGCAGTACTTTTCTTCTATAATTCCCTTATTGGATACTTCACGACATGCCTATCGTTACGCTCACACCTGTCTGTGACGAGGAAGCTACGGACTACAGTCGCATACGAGTGGGGACACAGGTACTCCTCACGTCACGGGATGGACTCCTTCTACCTGAAGGCCTCCCTCTGTGAGACCGCAGGCCCTGTTTACCCTCGCAGAAGGTGGAGGGGGCAGGCAGCTAATCTTGCGAAGGAAGCAGCAGGGACAGGGCACGGGGCGGGCTGGGCTGTGAGCGCAGGTCATGGGCGATAGGGAAGGGGCTGTGGCTGAGGCCTGGGTGTCTGGGGACAGTTTCAGGCAGTGAGGAGGGTCCCCTATTGGCACTGGGGCTCCACGTGTAAGGACAGAGCGTGGTGAGTGCCAGAGCCGGGGGGAGGTGACTGGACAGAGGTGTCCTGAACATCAGGACCTGCCAACAGAGACCTTCTGAGGTCACCTACTCCAACAACCGTGCCTCAAAGCATGGCTCCGAGAACACTGGGGTGTGGAGCATATGTATTATACGGAAATCAATCCATCGTTCAGCCCAGCCTTATCACCAACGTAAAAGAAATACACTAAATTCATCTCAGTTCATGAGTATCTTTCCCTCTTGAAACTTACTTGGTGACTGACTGCGCATTCTTGCCTCGCTGCACTGGCCTCGGGGGCTAGGACAGAAGCTGGTTCAGCACCGACGTAGATGAACCGTTTCACATTTAATCAACGTTACAAAGTGTTCACGCTACAGACAACTTCCTTAACATCCGGGTGTGGGGGCGCCATTAAAAAGGGGCAACTTCAAGCTCTGCCCGTGTATGATGGGCAGCCTGAGGGCCCACCCACGGCCCTCTCCTGCGTGGCCTCCTGCTGTGGCACGAGCCACGGGGCGCACGCGAGCCGGCTTCTCGGACCCGAGCACAGAGCTGGGCTCCTCCCAGGCCTCCCTGGGAACCGCACCTCAGCCTCCTTGGGCAGCTGGGCCTTCGTAGCACGGCCACGTGCAGACGTGTGCCATGTGGGACAGCTTGTCTGGGGGCCCCACAGCCTGGCCCCACCCACTTGGGCCCCGTTCCCTGGCAGCCAGAGGTACATGGAGCTGAGGGAACAGAGTGAGAAGCAGCCCCGTACGCAGCACACGACACTAGTTACTGTGAGGGGCAGAGTGGAGACAGAGGCCAACCCACCAGGTGCCAGAGAAAGCCAGAGGGCAGGACGCTGGGGACACCTGGAGGGGCCGTACCCACCTGGGTCCTCCCCGGTGCCACTGTGCCGGGGGTGGGGGCGGGGCGAAGGGGCTGCAGGCAGGGCTCATCCCCTGCCCCTCTCGTCCCCTCCCGGACCGAGGGGGTCACAGAACAGAACACACAGGGCTGGCACAGGATGCTGAGCGCGGGCATGACTGTCCCCACTGCAGGCCAGCGTGACTTGGGCTCCGGGGCCAGGAGGAGCCAGGGGCGGTACGGCCTGCGCCAAGAGAGGGATGAGAGAAGACACAGTCAAAGGCAAAGGGCAGGACCTGGCAGAGGTGAGGGGAGGCCCGAGGCTGGCGGGGGGCGGGGGGTGGGGACAGGAGCACAGCCGCTGGGGCAGGTCTGGACCCGGAGCCCGGGGGTCAGCGCGGTGTCCGGAGCTGCGGCCTCGCATCCGGGCGGGCGCAGCCTGGATTTGGAACCCGCTCTGTGACCTGACCAGTCACTGTACTTCCTCGGAGCTCATTCCGGTAACCTATTAAATCCAACAATTCCTAGCGCAGTTGACGTAACCATCATGCGACAGTGCCCAGGCCCTGTGGGGCCCTGTGCAGATGTGCAGTAACGGGGCTGCCTCCGAGGTGACAGAGGGGAGGGCCTGGGCCCCCGGACCCCGAGCCCCGCAGAGGGCACTGCCTTCGTGGTGAAAAGGGTGTTCCTTCCTCCTGACCTGGTCACTCCGGACAAACAGGTGCTGGGCCCCAGAGGGACTCACCTGGTCACTCACACTCCGGGTCCGGCAGCTGCTCCAGGAGCATGTCCTCCGTGCCACTGAACTACACGAGAGAAGGCGACCGATGGCCAGAGCCCTGGAATTCTCCTTCCAGCCTTCTCTGCTTGGCTTCGCCCTTCCAGGAGCCTGAGCCTGCTGGGGGAGGGGCATTCTAGGAGCCCCTCCTCCCAGCCGGCTTCACCCTCTTTCTAGTCTCCAGAGAGCCCCGCCCTGACCCTCCGGGCGAGGGGGCTTCTTTGGGACCTCAGAGGGTGGCCCGGTCATTATTTCCTTCTAAAGCCAGACCTGGGGGAGGGGGCGCGGGGCCACCTAAGGCGCCCCGGTGGTCTCTGGGAGCGCACACTTGCCTCGATGTGGTACACTATGTGCCAGAAGCTAGAGTCCGAGCCTCGGTATCTTCTTTCAGGGTACAGCTGCCACATGGAGGGCAGCAGCCCGGGGGCCAGCAGGCTGGGGCACAGGGCCTCCCCCAGGGGCACATCTTCCTGCCGCATGAGCACCTGGAGGCTGCTCTCTGTCTGGGGAGAAGGGAGGACGGCGCGCACCTTCAGGGCCCAGGCCCCCCGGGGCACGCAGATCCCCAGAGTCCCTCCTGCCGCCCTCGCAGCCTAGCCGGCATCTCAACGGCTGGTGACTGCTGTTTCTGGAAACTTCATTCCTTGAGCCCCGCACACTCTCTCGGGGGACCCCGGCTGGGCCAGGACAGGAGGACCAGCGTTCCTGTGTGTCTAGACACCGAGACAGGGCTGGACAGGCAAACGTAGAGTTTGTCCTTGAACTTCCTGAGCTGAGGTTCAGTGCCTATCTCAGCTGCTCTGGGACCTTCTTTGCTTTTTCTTTATTTTGTCATATCGTCCCTTTTATTTTTTATGAACGTTTATTTATTTGGGGAAGCGGGGGAGAGGTAGGGACAGAGAGAGAGAGAATCCCCCAAGGAGGCTCCATGCTGTCAGCACAGAGCCCTACGCGGGGCTCTGATTCACGACCTGAGCTGAAATCAAGAAACAAATATCCCGGTCCCCGCAATCAGGTGATAGACCACTTTCTCCCACTTTCACCACTACTGCCCCCTACTGCAAGAAATCTGACTTGCTGCCCTGTTGGTCACGTGCGCCACAGCAACTCCCTGCAGGGCAGCCGGGTGTGTGTCTCAAATGCCACTCCCCTGCTGGACACCCTCCAATGGCTCCTCATGGCAGGCAGAGGCCCCTGAAACCTTCACTATGGTCCCCAAGACCCCCTAATCTGGGCCCCTGCCTTCCGCACCTCCCATTCTGTCCTTCACCAGCGACAAAGGCCCCCTCGCTATTTCGGGGACATGCCATGTTCCCAGTAATCTCCTGCATCTGTTGTCCTCTATCTGGAACATTCTCCGCTACATCTACACAGGGTTCATACGCTTTCTTTTAGATAGGTCTCTGCACAAACGTTATGTCCAGAGCGACAAGTTTCAAATTTCAGCAAAATCCAACTCTATGATATACATACGAGGCATGCATGCCTAAAACTGAGGTTTGCAATGGTTTCTAATAAAATGACAGGCAAAGAGAATGAATACTCTTGGAGGGGGCCTTGCCTGAAGACCCCACCCCACTCATTACTGCCGCTCACCCGACACAACTTAACCACCAGCCTCAATTACTTTGTTGTCCATGGGGCGCCTGGGTGGCTCAGTCGGTTAAGTCCGACTTCGGCTCAGGTCATGATCTCACAGTTCGTGGGTTTGAGGCCCTGTGTTGGGCTCTGTGCTGACAGCTCAGAGCCTGGAGCCTGCTTCGGATTCTGTATCTCCCTTGCTCGCTGACCCTCCCCTGCTCATGCTGTCTCTCTCTCTCAGAAATAAATAATACATTAAGAAAAAAATTTCAATTACTTCGTTGTCCTGCACCCAGCTCACTGTCAGCTTCCCAAGCAGTAGGATTTTATCGCGTTCACTGCAAACCTTCACAGCCTAGAGTCGTGCTTGGCATATAAACCAGGCCCTTAGGCCTGTTCAATAACTATCTCTCCAGAGTGGAAATAGTTTTTTAAATTTTCCATCTATGAAATAAATTAGAATTGTTAAGAAATAATTCAGAGCATCCTGTGAGACGTAAGTGGAAATCACTATTCTTACTGTGTTAGTATATACTCTTCTGTATCCTTCAACCACTTTTAGTTTCCTTATCCATCTTTTTCTTATTGACTTAAGGAAATCTTTACATACTAAGTATGCTGGCCCTTTCAATTACAGGGAGGCAAACCCCACCCCTCGGTTTGCTAGTGGGTTATGCTTCGTGCAGAACTTACCATGATGATGTGAAAAACTCTGCTTTGCGGTTTGGGTGTTACGTTTAAGAAGACAGTCCCCCAACCAGGGAATGAAAAAGAAGATATTCACATAAATACTCTTCAAATACCTGACTTTTTTCTTAAAAAGAGTAAATATTTAACTTGATTTTTAAAAGTACATATAGGTTATTTAAAAAATAAAAAAGAGAGACAAACCTAAATAAATCCCAATACACATGGTGGTAAAGATCCCAGATCCAAGCCTATCACCTAATTAACTAGCAGTGTTAGTAATACTTTATTTATATTATATTTTATGCCTCAGTTTCCTCGGCTGTAAAACAGGGACACAGTTACTATTGGAGAACTTTTGCTGTCTGCTCTTCTATTACAGAAATGTCCTACTACTATGTACTTTAATTTTGGTTCTACATCGGGCTTCCACAATACCATGTTACTTGCGCAGTCTGTTCCCTCTGGAGCATGTAGGAGGCGCCAAACCACCAGACCCCAGGGCAGGTCCCCCACGTGGCTGAGCGCCCTCCGCGGAGAAACCCGCGTGGATGCTGCCGCCCACGCCACCCCCGTCCAGCCCCGCCTGCCCCCAGGGCGGCTGTACCTCGATGATTATGGGCAGCCAGGTACGCTGGTTCTCGTCTATGTACACGGACCGTTCCCAAATCCACAGGTGGTCCGGGTGCAAGGCCGCGTGTGCCCTGAAGAACGGGAGCTCGCCCATGGCTCCCAGGGCGTCCAAGGAGTCTCTGGAACGCACTCGCTGGTGCGGGGGACGCCGGCCCGTCGCTTTATAGCCGGGGCTGCGCGCGGGCGCCCCCCAGCGGCGAGGCGGGAGGAAGGCAGGCGCAGGCAGCGCGGGGCAGGCGGCGAGGCCGGGTGGGCGGAGCGCGAGGCGGTGTGGGCGGAGCGCGAGGCGGGGTGGGCGGAGCGATTGGCCGGAAATGCCCCGGAGCCGGCCCCGCCCCCTGGGTCCTTGGCACTATCTAGGACCGTGGACCCAGCTCCATAGGCGTGGGGCTTTGTGCAGGCCCCCGGCCAACCAGCTCCCACTCCCCACTGCTGGTGGGGGTGCACCCCTGTCTGTGGCCTTTGGCCTGTTCTCGGTCAGGAGGCACCAGCGTCCTCCACTCCCCGGGACGCCCAGTCCCCACTGTCCGAGTCAGGCAGCGTGTGTGGCTGGTCAAGTCACCCCCAGACCGGGCCGCCAGGCCTCTGCTGGGAACTCACAGTCGACGCCAGGCAACCCAGAGCCAGGACCCCCTCCACATCTTCTGGAATCAGAAGAGACTCACGGCAGCCGGAACCAGGCCTGGCCTTTCCCAGGCTCACGGCATCACCTTCAGCCTGTGGATGGGGTGTCAGAATCAATGGCCTTGGCCAAGTGCAACTCTTGAAGCCCCGGTCCCCCCTCCCGCAGACATTTTCCACCGCTTTGATGATGGTGTGGTCATCTAATAGCTATTGTGAAACAGGGCGGTGAGGAAACATGGGTTTTTTTTCCCTTTTATAGGCTTTGAATTCGTTAGTGAACACATCGTTCAAAATGAATGCTTGAAAAGAATCCTCTCCCTCCACCCCAAGTTCAATGGAACTGAAAAGTCCCTGGGTTATAGGATCAAACCGTCTCTCTGTAAATTACAGCAACAAAGGAATACAATTTCACTTCATTTTGCAGCACACCACATGCCCATTAAGGCAATTAAGAACATAAAGTACAATGAGAAACATGTAAAACCAGCTCCAGCCTCACTGCTCAAACATCACCACTGGCAACAGTTTGGTGTCTCACCTCCAGCTCTTTCCTGTCTCTCTGAAAATAATTTGCGATCTTTTTGAAATATCGCAGAAGTGAAAATGAGCTTAACCCCGATCCCTTGACACCAAAGGTATGTATTTGTTTCTCTGCCTATCCAGACAACCTAATTCCCAAGGAAGTGCTGAGGTGGCCTATGGTCATAGAGATATAATTGGATTTACCAGGAACACAAAATAGAAGACAAAAGCCAAGCAGAGTTGGAGGTGGAGAAGGCAGACGTGAGCCCAGCAAACCTCCTTCCCAGGGCAGCCGCTGGTGGTGCTAGGATTTAATATTCAGACGTGTGGCATTCAGGCTGATTTCCCTGTGGCTGGTTCTTAATTCCAGACCCAGATAGCTACTGGGAGTAAGATAATATGGTAAATCTGTCTGCTGGGGAAGTCTCATCCTAGTCCTGAGCTTTGAGGCCAAAAATGATAACAAGTCCGGCTTCAACAGTGTGGCAGAGAAAGGGGACACCTAGGAGCCAGTGTGGTCGCTGACCTGGCCCCATCAATGGCCCCAGGACTCCGAATACCACTGGGTCTGCTGATTTCATTGGTACTTGTTCCGTTTCTTGAAGGAGCCACAAGAGGAACAAATAATGGGGCCAGAATCTGACTCACTTGGCTGAATATGTTTCTCAATGTTCTGGAAATATGATCCTTTACACCCCCAGTCCCCTTTGAAAGAACAATATAGGTCTTCAGTTTCACATGAGGGCTTCTTAATATTGAGCAAGATATTACACACAAGAGTGCATGTCGTTCTCCTGTAGAGCTTTAGAAAATCATTTGAGGAGGGGTTTCAGAAAACGAAAGTGACATGGGGAAGCCTCTGGGGGGGCCTTGAGCCTTCTTTATGGAAACCCCACTGGAAAGGAAACAATAGCTCCTGTGTGGTCCCAGGGACAGGCAAGCCTCTCCAGCCAGTTATCGGCCCCATCTTAGGGCCGGAAGGCCAGTGGCTCTAGCTTTACAGTTGTGTATTTCTTTCTGACTCTTTCCTTTATTCATCTACAAACTCCCTGAGTATAATCAAGTGGTGTTTCATTTAGAAAATAACACAAAGAAGGGCTTCCGAGTGGCTCATTCGATGAAGCGTCCCCTCTTGATTTCAGGCTCAAGCCATGATCTTTCGGTTCATGAGTTCCAGCCCCGATTCAGGCTCTGTGATGACAGTGCAGATCCTACTTGGGATTCTCTCTCTCTCTCTCTCTCTCTCTCTCTCTGCCTCTTCCCCAATTCGTGCTGTCTCTCTCTCTCTCTCTCAAAACATATAAATAAATAAAAATAAAGTAACAGAAAGCAATTATTTTGACTTTTTTTTTAAAGTATAGAATCCTTAACTGATGCTTTCATGGTCTGGCTTTTGATCCAGTTTTGACTTTGCCTTTATCGCCTGTGAACTTGGCAGATCCTTTGTCATCCTGGCCTCATTGCCACACTTGTGTAATCGATGAGCCAAGCTAGGTGCCCTTGAAGCCCATTCTAACTCAACAGTCCCTGATCCTCTGATAAAGTTGTCTAGGGGAAGGTTAAGAATGATTTTGAGCAGAGGGGTTCTGGATATGAAGGACCACAATGGAATTCATTCTGCAGGAGTAAGGAAGCCATTTTCTTGTTTGGATCCCCAAAAGGGCTGTGAGAGTGAGTCCTGACCATCATAGGATCTAGAGCCTTGCTATGGTAAGTGTGGTCCCTGGACCAGCTACATCTCAAGCCTTCCCCAGACCAACTGGGTCAGAATCTGCATTGTAACAGGATCGTTGGGCGCACGTTAAGCTTTGATCTACAGTGGGAGAAGAGGTGGTGGCTGTCTGCCTCATTCTACCATTTCCCTCTAGATTTCTCTGTGACACAAACCTTGGATATGTGTCTCTGTGTCATTTAGTTCTAGGCTCTCTTACTTTCTGTCAAAATCACTTCTTTTTTTTTTTTTTTTAACATTTATTTATGAGAGAGAGCACAAGTGAGGGAGGAGGGGCAGAGAGAGAAGGAGACACAGAATCTGAAGCAGGCTCCAGGCTCTGAGTGGTCAGCGTAGAGCCCGTTGCGGGGCTCGAACTCACGAGCTGTGAGATCATTACTTAGAGCCAGAGTTAGACACTTAACCAACTGAACCACCCAGGCGCCCCTCAAAATCACTTCTAATATATTAAGTTTTTCCTCTTAAAATCCTGGTAATCAGTGTCATCCTAACCATCAGCAATGACCAGCAAGCTATAAAGAAACGGCGTCGGGCTTCTTAGGTGGCCAGGCCGCTGGGCGCTACATTGAATGCCCCCAAACCACTAAGCTGGTGAACTGAAGCCCTGGTTACTTATTAGAATCACCTGAGAAGCTTTTATAAAAATCCTTTGTCTGGGTGCATTTGGATCAGAATCTCTGAGACTGAGGCTTTGGTGTCTTCCTTCCTTCCTTTCCTTCCTTCCTTCCTTCCTTCCTTCCTTCCTTCCTTCCTTCCTTCCTTCTTTCTTTCTTTCTTTCAAGGATTTTTCAGGTGATTTTAATGCATGGTTCTCAAGCAAGAACCACTTCTCCAAAATCTGAATTACTGTTTTCGAGGCGTGAACAAGATTTATAAAACTGAATAACCAGGAAAAGGTTAAAGCTATTCTTTCTACCATCAATTCTCATTGTAAACCTCACCCCAAGCCTACACTTGACTTCTTTCCCTATGCCCTGACGTGTAGATGTTGAGACGTCCATGCTAAGTTACCTGGAGTGGCTTTTGTTTGTCTGTTCTGACATCTGGGCCATATTTTAGATAAATAAGGCTGATGATCAAGTGAGCCCAGGGTAGAAAAGGATGTTGTGACCTTTACCCACAAGGGAGGAAATTTCATCTCAAGATTAATGGAGAGTGTGGGGCAAGGATATTCCCAGTCGAGCTCAGGGACAGATCATAGCCTTACCTACTGTGTGGCTACTATCTCCCTTCAAACTTAACAGAGTTTTCTTTATGTTTTAAACATTTGTCAGACTTTAAGGTGTGCATAGGGATGGTGGGGAAATGGCTCTAATTCAGCAGGATTGGGTTGAGACTCGGCATTTCTAACAAGGTCTGAGGCAAGCCTGATGTCCAGTTCCTGGACCACCTCTGAGTAGCAAGGCCCTGTATCAACCCAGTGCACACACTACACAAATCCAAAACACACCCACAGTCTTGACTCAAAATGCACCAAATAATTGAACCTGACAAGCTGGTGGAGGGAGCAGCAGGTAGTAGAATTGCAATGGATGCTTTGAGCTAGAAATGAGGCTTCTATTTGCCTCGGTGAGGTGGAGTTGACCTACGTTTGTATCAGAGGTTATTTCTCAACCCTGGGATGATTCTGCCCTTTGGGGATTATGCCTCCAGTGTTCCTGGTAGTGGGCATCAGCTCGTTTCTCATTCTGCCAACTTCCAATCCTGTAATTTGTTTCTCATCATGCTAACTTCCAATTCTGTAATTTGATTGATTTAATTTTATCTCAGGAAAAGATTTATTTGTTTTTTTCTTGGCAAAATAATTCACATATTTCTTCCCAGAAAACTGGCACATCTCCTTCACGCCTCTCACACATATAAGTTGAGGGAAATATATTGACTATGTATTGCTTTCAGCTTCCACACTGAAAATCCCTTCTATACCATTTACACAATTGCTCTTGACCTAGATCTTCAATTTTAGGATATTTTATATATTTTTTCCCCAAGGATGTATTTTTATTTCCTCCAGATGAATGCCCACAGTTAGGATTGCCAGATCATATGCTAGTTGTATTTTCAATGTTTATGTTATTAATTAATTAATTAATTAATGTTTTAGATTTATATGTAATTTAATTTCAGTATAGTTAATGTGCACTGTTATACTAGTTTCAAGTGGACTATAGAGTGGTTCAACACTTCCATAATGACTCGGTGCTCATCACGATAGG